TTGTCAATTTTTCACTATTGTTCTCTCTCCACGCCCAACACTACACAAAATATCAATATTGTCAAAAGTGTGTAGTGTTCTCTCTAGAAAATATTTGTAGGGTTCACTACGATATAATTATACCATAATTACTATAATTATAGTTCCCTTTTGACAATGGTATAATTATATTGTTCTTTTATGTTCTCTTTTGTCAATAGTATATTGTTGTTGCTGGTACAATATTGTAAAACACAAGTATAATTATAGTTCCCTTTAAAATAGAAAAGCACAATATTGTAAAACACAAGTATAATTATAGTTCCCTTTAAAATAGAAAAGCACAATATTGTAAAACACAAGTATAATTATAGTTCCCTTTAAAATAGAAAAGCACAATATTGTAAAACACAAGTATAATTATATCCAAAATATTTGTAGGTTAAGCTCTGTAGGGTCATACCTTTAATTTCAATTACTAAACCGATATTGAATTATTTTATTTGTAATTATTTAAAAATAAAACTAGTTATTAAATATTATAAAAAATATACATATAAACTAAAATAAAGTAAACACATTCTGGATATATGCAAAACTTTTGCAAATTAGCATAAAGACAATAGTAAATATATATAGATATAGATATTAAAAAAATAATTAAAATTATTATAAAAGATGGTAAAAGAATATTGAATATTTGAATCTAAAACTAAAAAAGATCCAATATCATAATATAGATAATTATTTTAAATAAAGTATAAATTTCTAAACTTTAAAAAATTTATATTATTATCTTAATATGATCTAATAAAAATAAAAAGTCTTAAATGATCTAATAAAAAGTTTCAAAATCAAATATAGATACAGATAATTATGGTAAATGAATATTAATTTTAAAATATAATCATTATATAAAATTTTTTAATATTTAGATAATAAAATATAATCATCTTTTTAATTTATTAACTATATTTATTTTTTAATTTATCAGAAGTTATCTGATTGGCCCCTTTTCTATTTTAAATGCATTTATTAAATTTAATGTTTAGATTTCTCTTTAACCTCCAACACTAGGAAGCAAAACAAATAAAATAGATAAAAGAAAATGCAAAATAATAATAACAATAATAATAAATAAAAACTGGCCTTTCATTCATAAGCATAAAATTTATACAAACAAATTAAAAAAAAAAAACTCCTAATAAACATATTAACATCACACAACTAATTATACAAAGATAGAAAATAAGTTATCGAAATAACGAGATTTAATTAATATTGGTCATTTCTCTGCTCTTATCGAAATATAACCTGTAGATTTATATTAATATTTGGTCATTCTCTCTTGCTCTTTTCTGTTACCTCTATATTTCACTCTTTTTTTTGCATACATATCATTTCATAATTGTTAATAAAATATTCTGCAAAAAAATAAAAATAAAAGGAAAAAAAGAATGTAGATACCAGAGAATTAAATTTAACACTACCGTAGTTTAGAAAAAAAAAAAAAAAAGGAAAAAAAGAAGAGACCAGAGAATTAAATTAACACTACCGTAGTTAGAAAAAAAAAAAGATGCAGCAAGATATATGGATTGAAGTTGTTATTGTCATCCTTTTGCTAATCAAAATCTAAAAACAACAATAATACATATATGAAAAAAAAAAAGCCAAAATCTAGAAAATTTAAATAAAATAATCGAAAGAAACAACAAAAGATAAGAAGAATACCATTATAAAAATAATGATTGAAAGAGGTATATATATATATATATATATATATCAAAAATTTTAAAGTTTTAGATTTAAATATAGATATATATAGATATAAAAATAAAAATGCTCAAACATTACTAAAAATTTATAAAATTTATAAAAAAGAGAAAAAACAATACTCAAACATGGGAGTGACGCGTCAACTTTGCAAAGATTTTTTGGCTTCAAGATTATATATATATAATGGTGATTTTATGCTTTTACTTTGTAATATTAGTTGTCTTAATAGAACTTAATTATTCTAATATTTGTCAGCTATTTTACTGGTTGACAGGAGACAACGTCTTATTACTTTTTTCAACCTCTGAATATTAATATAAATATTATGTATTTTGACTAAGGGTCCGATCGGCAAATTTAGCTATTCTAATAGCTGCTAGTTGTTAGCTGTTTTAGTAGCTTTTAGCTATTAGATGTCAGTTGTTAGATGTTAGCTGCTAGCTATTAGCTATTTAAGTAGCAACTGACAATGAAAGTGTTTGATAAAAATAATTGTTTGATTGACAATTAAATTTAAAATGGCAAAAAAAAGTATAACCATAGAATTAAACTCAGTATAAAAAAAAAAAAAAAAAAAAAAAAAAAAAAAATTAAATTTTAAAATGGCCAATAAAATAGTTTATAACTCATAGGAATAAAACTCCATGTTATAAAAAAAAAAAAAAAAAAAAAAAAAAAAAAAAAAAAAAAAAAAAAAACAACAAAAGATGATTTCATTGAACCTAAATTTTCAAAATTTAAGGGAGCAAAAATTAAAAGTTCATTATTTTATAAATAAAATTGGAAATTTTCAATAATTTAGTGGATTAATATTTTTAATTTTTAACATTTTCTCGAGTTCAAATGCAAATATATAAACAAACATTTTTTTTGTATACTTGCATCAGGTAACCAGACTCGTATTCATTTTAATATCTTTCTTTCTTTTTTATTTTTTATTTTTTATTTACATTTGGGTTGTTGGATGATTCCTATATATCATTGCCCTAAAATAATAGGTGAAATGAATGTAATAAACCAAACATCAAAGTTCTATTATTGAAATGAATGTAATAAACCAAACATCAAAGTTCTATTATTGACCAAGTTAAAGCCATAATCCATGTTTCTCAGCAACCAAAAGCTCCACTTTGGTTCTGCATGTCCACTCAACAGGATGCTCCAATTTTTGATAGATATGCATGAAAAACATGAAATCTAGGTACCCCACAAGTTTAGGAATCACAAACAATTAGGAACCTCAATCCAACAAGCAATCTCAGTCATCGTTGTTGAGACGTTGGAAAATTTAGAATGAACCCAAAACGGTAGTCAAGCGACAAGCTCGCAAGCTTTTCCACATCACTGGTCCCATTATGTCGGGATGGAATCAATCCAATACACAAGGCAATGAAGCTGAGGTAGATGTAATAGAATAGGATATTGTAGTTTATAAGAAAAATGAATTTTGAGCCCTTTTTATAAAGGTCATGGAGTTTAATTTATTTACACCATGATCTTGCAATTATGTATTCAATTCTTAGATGAGTATTCTATTAGCTTACAGGACTAAAATACTAGTTTTTCTAAACAAAAATGGGTTATCTTATTACAAAATCTTCGAGAAATTCAAGATTTTGGAGATATAACTTTCATTTCCCCCAAATCCTGAAAACTTTCATTTCCCCCAAATCCTGAAATCCATAAATAGAGTATGCAGGATCCTTTGTGTCAACGTCTTTTACTGCTACTAAAACTGTCAATTAACTTAATGAAAACATGTATATATGAAAACATGTATATAATAATATGCAACACTGCGATGATGTTCCACTCATGTATCAATAGATGTATCAGTAGGCAAACAAAGTTCAATTTACCTTTGAACTTGTAATTACAAAAAAAAAAATGTAAAAATTGAGTTATTTTTTGGCTCAATTTGCCTCTTAACTCATTATCAAAGTGCAAGAAGTCTCATGATATCAGTTTATGACCTCAGTAAAATACAAATTCAATGCTAGGCTTTTTTTTTTTTTTAATTGTAGTCTCAAATTAAATTTTATTTCTTTTCAAAAAGTAGTAGGGTAAAAGGCCAAAGACCACCAATTCTTTGGTCGTTGAGGAAGTCTTTCGGATGCACCATGAGTGAAATTATATCTTTTTAACAAATATGCTAAAAAACACGGTTAACAAATATGCTAAACACGTGATTTGTTTTATATGGGATGATGATGATCCCTTCATATATTGCGAAAAAACATATGTAATGGGCCTGTCAAGTGTCAAGTGCATCCCCGGACCGGTAACCTGGAAAGACAAGGAGCAAAAAGTTGGCCCATTTAGCCCACAGCAGAAAGCCTTGCTCTTGACAATGGGGGCCTGGCCCCTCAGAGATCGACTGCTTTAAAATATTCTGAAATAAAAAAGAAGGAAAGAAGAGACCAGAGAATTAAATTAACATTACTGTAGTTGGAAAAAGAAAAAAAGATGCAGTAATATATGTGGATTGAAGTTGTTATTGTCATCCTTTTGCTAATCAAAATCTAAAAACATCAATAATACACACATGAAAATAAATAAAAAAAAAAAAGCCAAAACCTAGAAAATTTAAATAAAATAATCGAAAGAAACAACAAAAAGATAAGAAGAAAACTATTATAAAAATAATCATTGAAAATCTATTAGAAAAATGAAGTTGGTCATTGAAGAATTATATATATGATATATATATACATAGAATAATATATATGATCTATAATTCATATTATATACGTTATTATAGTATATATAGTTAGTAATATACTTTCAAATATATATATTTCAAAAATTTTAAAGTTTTAATTATTTAAAGTTTTAATTTTGGAATTACCGAATTTTCATAAAACAATATGGTATGAGATTTTAAATTCAAAAAAAAAAAAAAAACATTTGGAACGAAATGAAATGAAGTTTATATTCCGAAGTATTTCGAAATAGAATTAGAATAAGAATTATTCCATTCCATAACGACTGAATTACATTCCTAGATAAAATAGTGCATTTAAAAACAAAGATAAAGTAATTAATTTTGCTGTAATATGAGAATAAGCCAATAGTTTATGCCAACCTTTTGAAGCATAATATATTTCTATATGTTCTTGCCATTGTTTGGCGGAAAGAAGCTTAAATAAAGACAACAACATAAAAACAACACACCAAGGTCCAAACTACTTTTTATGAAAAAAAGCAGGCTTCTATTTTAATTTCTTTGAGAACTTTGAAATCCTTCAAGCTTTTGAATCTTTGGCTGCTTCTTTGGCTTTTCGTTTCCCCTCTTCCTTCTGATACTTTATTCCACAAGCATTGCATAATGACTGCAAGTAAAAGAGCAAATTAGTCCAACAATGATATATATATATATAAAGTAACAAAATCATTTTATTTTTTTTTATAACAACGGATTGTAATTCTCTTCGGACCATATAGTGTAAAAAATTTTAATTTTTCTGACAAAGTATGCTTTCCGAATATCAAATTTATATTCTTACTCATATAAAAATGCAATTCACTTACCACTGAACCAAATTAATTCAACAAAAAAAAATGCATTCCACTTGAAACACTGAACCAAAAGTTAAAAGTTTCTAACAAAAAAAAAAAAAATAATATATATATATATATAGTATAATGTTATATATATATATATATATAATGTTATATAGCAAATTCTTATGTTTTCAAAACAAACTCCATTTGAAATTAGTTGCAGTTACACTAATTGAGTCAAACCAATTAAATATCAATTGTAATTAGGACTGTTAAAATTGGGTTGCATTGGGACCCACAATAAACAGTTCTTACTACATCCTTATCTTGTCGTATACAAACAAAAAGAAAAAGTAATAACGAGACCAACCTTTTACCGTTTGTTCCTCTCAAATTCAAATCAAATGGATTGATTTGAACAGTTTTAGTTGAGTTGAAATGAATTTAGTATCTAATCATCCTTATCTTGTCATATACAAACAAAAAAGAAAAAGTCATAACGAGACCAACCTTTTGCCGTTTGTTCCTCTCAAATTCATATCAAATGGATTGACAAGAACAATGATGAACATAATCCAGCTTAAGTATAAAGTTTGTATTTCAAATATTTTATTTATATGATATCTTGCATGAAATCCACGAAAACAACATTAATGATGAACATAAAATTTTATTTTACGTAGAGAAAACTAAATTGATAATTTTTCAGAAATTATAATTTTTTTTTTTGAAAAGAGAAAATTATGGATTAAGTAATTTTTTTTTTTGTAAGTTTCCAAATAAGTATAAATTTTTTTTTTTCGGTTTTTCAATATCATAAAAACATCAATACTTCTCAACATCTCATTGAAATATCAAATAATAAGTGCATAGAAATGTAAAATAAAATGTAATTTCATATAATATAGCAAAAGTTTTTACTTTCCCTTATATATATATTCTGAAAACACGAAAATACATTTGAATAATTAGAAAAAGTTACATTTAAATATACTATTCAAAGTAACATATTTATCGAGTGTTCAAAATATTAATTAGTCCTAAATATTATACTGATTAAGGAGATAGTAAAGCCAATTTCTAGCTTCTAAACTTAGGGAAGATCAACTTCCCAAAACCCTTAACCCTCTTAAGAAAGTCATCTTTTTATTATTATTATTTTTTTTAATAGAGAGTAAAGCTTAAAGAATTATAAGCATGATTTAGGATAAGCTATACCACTAACATCATGAGTGAGCCAACAAGCAATCCGTCAAGGGATCTAACAAAACATGAGTTCCAAAGGAAAATTCCAACCTAATTTTGAAAGTCATCTTAAAACCACTCACATCATTCGACGTGAGTGAAACTAAGTCAGCAAATGAGAGATTTAAATACAGGAAAGCAGTGAACAGAACACAGTTAGAACTATGTCTTCCTTCCTGTTTTCCCTTCCTCATAAAAAGAAAAAAAAATGCTAACAAAACAAAAGAAAATAGTAACTTCTAGACAATTCCAATTTCCCAATATCATAAGACATCGAAGCATATTATACGTACCTTGGGACCAAGAGGACCTTTACGCCACATGGGAGTATCATTAGTGTTGCAATTGGTGCACCTCCTATAAGGGTTATTGTTGTTCCCATTGCGTGGACGCCTTGCAACAGAAGAGGACTTTCCAGTCTGACGAGCCTCGAAAGGAGAGCAGTCAAGGAGTGTGTAGCTAGTCAAGCTATGAGCTTGAAATGGAGGTAATGTCAAACCACCATTAATGTTCTGGTAAGCAGGAATTCCTGTAGGATACTGCTGATGGTGCCTCAATATTCCACCAGTCGATGAGCTTCCCATATCATATGCCCATGAGTTCAGGTTTTGGCCCCCAAGAAGATTGCTTCCTATGTTACCCATTACTGAAACAAAAATGGTTAATTAATAGTCTTCATTTCAAAATCTAATAGCCGATAAACTCATTCTTGTACAAAAACTTAACCTTATAAACTTTTTTTATAGACAAGTTAACTATGCTATTAGTTTTTATAAAACACTAGGAAAAGCTTATAATTTCAGGTGTCTAAACCAAAGCCAATAGACTCCCCCTAAAAAACCCAACCTGACTCGAAAATATTAGGTAAAAAAAATCTACAACTAAAACAATACAAAGTTCATATGATACAACTATTATTTATCTTGAGACTGAGAGAATAAATAGTTGAAATAAAATAAAATACAAAGTCTTAATAGCCAAACCAAAAAAAATCACTCATTTCTTAGGCAACACATCTACAAAATTATTTTGTTTCTTTTAACATGATAAAAAGCAACGTGTGCTAGAGATGAGATCATACAATCTAACCTATTAAACGTCAAGCTTATAATGTTCAAATCCAAATTTAATAGCAATCTTACCAGCATTTCCCATGCGATTAATCATCCCATAGTTGTTTGTAGCAGCTCGGCCTCCTCCAATCTCATAGTTGTTTGTAGCAGCTCCGCCTCCTCCCATCTCATAGTTGTTTGTAGCAGCTCGGCCCCCTCCCATCTCATAGTTGTTTGTAGCAATTCCGCCTCCTGTCATCCCATAGTTTCCTCCTCCCATCCCATAGTTATTTGTGGCAGCTCCGCCTCCTCCCATCATCATCGTTGCGTAGCTGAAATTCGGTGCTGCCTGTTCAAGTACGTATATCAATTCTTTATATGTGCGTAGCTGAAATTACGGTGCATGCCTGATTCAAGTACGTATATCAAAATTTTTCAACATATTATGATTTTTAGTATTTAAAACCAAGAAAGAAACTTTATATCTATTTATCTATTATTTATATCCCATAAAACCTTGTATACTATTATATATAGAAAAGCACTAAAATGTGAAAGTTGTAACAAACTGGATACTTATTATCATCAATATAATTAAATAATAGCAAATAAAAATAGCAAAAATAATAACAGATGAGCAGTTTGTTATTTATAAGTTTAAGTATCTTTTTAGGATTAAAAAAAGGGAAGCATGGAAAGCATGGAATTTAGTTGAATTTATGCAAATTAACTAGTAAATGAAATAAAGAAGACAATAACAAAACAAACACAATAAGGTATAAAAATTTTAGAATTGAAAAGCTTTCTAGGTCATAGATTAATAAATAATAATATATTAATCATTAAAATGAAAAGTAATATAAACTAAGCAGACAGTATAAGTTCATACACTATGGTTCCATATTGACATTAGCTAATAATTATAAGAAATTCAACTTGTGAAAGTAAATTCCATTTTGGTAAACAGTAATAAAATGTAATTAAAAGTATTTTTATTGTAAATATGACATTAAAAATTTTTATGATTACATTACGTTTCATTATTTATCAAACCTAGCCCAAGTATCTAAGTAAAGGAAGTAACAAATTAAGTATATAGCTTAGTCTAAAAAAAATGTGCAAAATTTATGATTTTAGAAACAAAATTTATTATACAGGTGTAAAAATTTAGAAAACTTACTTAATAATTTAGCATAATTATATAATATAAGATTTAGAAACAAAATTTATTATACAGGTGTAAAAATTTAGAAAACTTACTTAATAATTTAGCATAATTATATAATATAAGATTACAGTTATAATTTAATAATATTTTATTCGGACATATTCTCGTACTTTCAACATAATAGGAGGCTGGAGACTTTTTCTAAAAAAAGATTAAATCTTTAAATTATCTAAAAAAAGGATAAATTGTACAATAAAATAGTTAAAGACTATTTGTAAAGAGGAGAGAAGCAAAATAAAAAATAAAGTTAATATCCGGCGAAAAGATGCAGTAAAATTTTAGTGTTCCTTCAAAAGAATAAACTTTCGTTTTAAGTCTTTTTAGTCTTAAAATAGCACCAAGTCGTTTTGAGTATCGGTTTTTCTTTTAACCCTACTTTTATTATTCTTTTTTTCTTTCTTCTCTGCTGCTTGCGAGTTGCGACGCCGACTACTCATCTCCTGTTTGTCGATACTCATCTTCTCTCCGGGTGTTAACTCTTTCTTCTATTCTGCTTCTCTCCTCTCTACAAATAGTCTTTAACTATTTTATTCTAAAATTTGTCCTTCTTAGATAAGTTCCAATAATATGTGCTTTGCATTCAACATTTGCTCAGAGAAAAATGCAAGAAGATTCTGTCTTAACGGAATTAAATAATACCAACAAAATTTTAAACTTGTAGATTTTTTTTTTTTTTTTTTTTTTAGCAAAGTTGGACTATATCCGTCACATTTTAAAAGCTGGAATTGGATCCTAGGGTGGAAAGAAATTAAAAGGGGTGTGGAAATTTGAAGGGTATTTCTTTTCCAGTTTACGCAAATATTCAGTTTTAAAATATTGGGGATGTAAGTTTGAATCAGATTTTACAGCTTGCAAAAAAAAAAAAAAAAAAAAAAAAAAAAAAAAAAAAAAAGAAGAGCTTTTGGGGTACCCTGATTTCAGCAAATGGTGAAACCTTTCGAAAGGCGAAATTCTTAGAAGTAAGAAGGCCGTTGATGTAGACCTAATTTTTCCTTAACAAAATTATATTTTAAGCATACCAGATGGCAATGAAATGGAGATAAAAGTAATTAATTTTTATTTAAAAAGTGATTTCAAAAAGGGAAAAAAATATTTATAACATAAATATTGGGCTTTATTAATTATACCTATGGTACGTTAACTTATCACTAGTTCACCTTAACATGCTTAAATTTCAATTTATAACATAGAACTTATCACTAGTTCACCTTAACATGCTTAAATTTCAATTTATAACATAGATACAAAATATCAATTTTTATAACAATAAAAATCCTTGGCGCTAGTAGAAATTGAAATGACAAGCAATTATATGGCACGAAAATTAATGCAATGATTAGCAACAGTATGAGTGCTTTCACATGCTACCTTCGATCTATAATAAATTTCATAATATTTTTTTCTTATGACTACAACCAAGTTATTCATTATGCTCAACATGATACCAGGAAATCTATAGTATTAACATCCTATTATATCAAACTATGATGACGGTGTGATATTTATTCTCCTTAAAAGAATGTCAAAGTATCTTCTCTTGTGAATGCCAAGTTATCCACTACATGCTACAAGATCTATAGTATTCACATTAACACAATCCTATTAGATCATACTATGATATTGGATATAATATTTACTCCAATTAGAAAATATTTACTCCAATTAGAATGATGTCAGAATATTTTCTCGTATGACTGACAAATTATTCATTATGTGCTATGCTAAAGATCTATAGTATTCACATCCTATTAAATCACACCACGATGATAGTATAATATTTACTCTCCTTAGAAGAATGTCAGAAAATTTTCTCTTATGACTCCAAAGTTATTCACTACACACCATAAGAAGCTATGAGATCTATGGTATTCATATTAACACAATCCTATTATATCAAACTATGATATCGGTTGTAATATTTGCCCCAATTAGAACAATGTCAGAACACTTTTTCGTATGACTGACAAATTATTCATTATGCTTCACAACATGCCAAGACATCTGTATGGTATTTGCATCCTATTAGATCACACCATATGATGCCAGTGTAATATCTACTCTCCTTAGAAGAATATCGGAATATTTTCTCTTATGACTGCCAAGCTATCCACTAAGTGCCATAAGATGTCACGAGATCTATAATATTCACATTAACATGATCCTATTCGATTAAACTATGATATTGGGTATGATATTTACTCCCATTAGAATACTGTCATAATATTTTGGTACGACTAACAAATTATTCATTATGTGTCACAAGAAGCCAAGAAATCTGAAGCTGTCATATTAATACAATCTTATAAGATCGTATCACAATGAAAGATGTAATATTTACTCCCTTAAAAGAATCTCAGAATATTTTTTCTCATGATTACTAAATATTATTCATTACTGTGTCAAAAAATTGACCATATTTATAATATTCATATTGAAAAAATTCCTATTAGATCATACCATGATGACAAATGTATTCTTTACACTTTTTAGAGTGGATACTAAGATAATTTCTTTTCAAATGTTTTTGAGCAATTTAAGAATAGTTAGTTAAATTAATTTAATTTTAATGTTTTTTCTTATTTTTCCATATAAAATATTAAAGACCCTAATTAAAGATTTTATATTAATAATTTCTTGAAACTTTCAAAATAGGATAAATAGTCAGTATATCAAGATTTAAAATTATCTTAAGATTTTCCTACTATCTAGTAAATTCAACTAATATTAGTAATTATTCACACAAATTATTATGTAAAAGTATTGTGAGAAAGTATTTTCCTACTATCTAGTAAATTCAACTAATATTAGTAATTATTCACACAAATTATTATGTAAAAGTATTGTGAGAAAGTAGAAAAAAAAAAAAAAACATTTGCAATAATGTAAATAGGACTAATATTTTAGAACACCTAAACTGAAATTATAATTTTAGAATAGAGAAAGTACATGTCATGTGTACGTAAACTTAAGTATGATATTAAAGGATTTAATAAAAGGACATTTAATAAAAGGACTAATATTTTTTTTAATTTTTTGATAATGTTTGAATTTTTTTTATTTAAAGTTAAATTATTGTAAACCATGGAATACGGGTAATAGTTTTGTCTGTCAAAATTTTCAAATTTTACGGAATAATCACTAAGGGATTAATAAATCAATTATTTTTAAAATGGGTTAAAAATATAAAGAAAACAATCTAATATTTAAGATATATTAACCTATTAGATCTAAATAAAATATAGATTATTCTTTTCGGTTACTATATATATAATAAGTAAATAATCAAATGATATATATTATTATATATATAATAAGTAAATAATCATATATATATAATAAGTAAATAATCAAATGATATATATTATTTATTTATTGAAAAGTTAATTAAAACAAAACATTTTAAAATTCTCAACATAAATAGAATTGGAATAATTTTGATTTAAATTTTAGCCAAACACTACCATTCATGTGTGCAGTATGTGATGGTCCAATCAGCATATGAAAATAAAGCATTTTAAAAGCAGGTTGGTGTATATGATGTCATTAGGTTTTATTTTTGTCTTTACAGTGAAAGTCTAACTTTAAAGGGTAAAATTTTCCTTAAACAATTAACAAAATAATTTTTTTTTTAATTGTGAAAGTTAAAAAAAAATCAAAATCATTAAACAATTTAATTATTTAATAATAAATTATATTAGTTTTGGTGCATAATTAACATATTAAAGTGGATATTATTATAAAAAATGAATAATTTCAAGTTCTCCTTAAAAAAAAAAAAAAAAAAAAAAAAATAAAAAAAAAAAAAAAAAAGAAGCATATGAATCCATAAAATGTTTTGTTTTTCTGAAATAAAATCATTACGACTAAGCATACGAACTAGCATCACTTGATTACCATCCCCCCCCCCCCCCCCCCTTAGCTTAGCCCTATATGCAAAAACAAGCAACAAGCCTTTTTACTGAACTAGATCACTTGATTACCATAGTAGCTTATGCAAAAAAAGACAAGTTTTCTTTATAAAATTTTCAAGATCCACCTCAGACAATTTTGATAGACAACAAATCGGTTATATATATAAAATAAAAACCAAACAGAAAAAGAAAATTGATTTTATTTTCTATTAAAACAAAATTAAACTGAATTTTTTTAAAAAAAAAAAAACAAATTGAACCAAACAGAATTGTGAATTCCTTAGTGCAATTTGATTCGATTAGTTTTATTTTTTTATAAATCATCCAAACAGAAGAAAAGAAAATCTTAAAATATTTTAGAAATTGACTAGCTTAAGCATAAAGAATTCTACCTGAGAGGCAGTGTAAGCAAAATCAGGGGTTGTGGGGACATGATTAACATGTTGCCTAAGATGAGAGGGATTTTTAGCCTCATATGGTAACCCTAGTTTCAGTGTCAGGTCCACCATTTCCACTTTGCCATTGTTATTACAGTAAGCTGCTCCATTAAACAATCCAGAATCCATCTCTCCTTGCTTTTGCTTATGAGATCTGAATTTTATATAAAAATGGGTCTTGTTAAAAACAGAATATATAAAAATGACTCTAGCAATATATATATATATATACTACTATATTATATAATATATATATATATATATATATATATAAACCAATGGTGATTTATGTGTGGACCTAAGTTACCAGAAGAAAGGTGGACTAGATATTGCCTCTAACTGAATATTGGCTGTACTGGAGAAAGAATTACCTGCACCCCATATATATATTCAGCCAATAATTAGCTCCATAATACCAGATATGATATAGAATATGTACAGCAATGATCATATGCTAGGGTTATCGGCCCTTATAAATAGGGTTATCAGAAATTGATATATGGCATAATCTTTCTATAAGGCTCCACTTAGCATGTTTTTCCAATAAATGACATGTAGCATATTTTTTTAATTGGGACATGTAGCCATATTTTTTTAATTGCCCTCCACCTAGTATCATTGAAAATTAATAATTTAAATATAAAATCATAAATATCAAGACATTAATATATAATAATAAACAATAAACAATAATCATTTGACTAAAATAAAATTAATTCAGCTTAAATTTTTATTATGCACTCTTATAAATAAAATAGCAATTATAAAAATAAAAGACATTAACGAATAGAGATATTTTTATTTTGTAATCTTAATTATTGTATATTTAAAAATATTTTAATATTATAATTACAAATTTATAAATTTCATCCAACATTTGTTAAATTGAAATTCGCAACATCTTAAATTTTTAAAATTAATTATCTAACAAATCAATTAATCCACATTTGTTAAATTAAATTCGAACATTGTAAATTTTAAATTAATTATCTACAAATCAATTATATAAATATTAAAAATATTATAATAAAAATCGAGACATAAAAATTTAAAAATTAAAAATTTATTAAAATATTATTTATTAATATCATTTCTCTTTATTTTTTTTGTGTAAATTGTAACTGTTATTTTCTTGAAAACTAATTGCAACTGTTATTTTCAATTAATTTTTATTAAATGAAAAATTACATATTCCTTAAAAAAATGGATAATATTATTTCTAGTAGTGTTTAGTCCAAAAAATTTATCAGTGCATAAGTAGCTTTTTTTAACTAAATGAGGTTTGAAAATCCATATATGTGCATTCTTACTTTCGTAGCAAAATTTTAGGGGTTGAGTTAGTCCAAAATATTGTGTAATTTACATATCATGTATATATATAATACAAAATATTATGTTTCATGTCTTCAATTATGGCTTCATTCAATTTTCTGCTTTGTTGGTTCTTCTTGAGTTGGTGTGGTGCTGAAAAAAAAAAGCAAAATTTGATGTGAGAGAATAATGTACATCCATACAATTTCTTTTATATATAATAGGAATTATCAATTTCCTAAGCTACCAAAGAGACATTTCAAGTGGATAGATGGTTTGAATAATTGAATTACCTTTGTCGTTTTAGTTAGTTAATAATTGTTAATATATATACATATAAAAGTTTTGGAAGTTTTGGAAAAGTTAACTTTTCCAAAAGTTGGAAATATACTTGTGTGTGTTTGTGTGTCTATATATATATATATATATATATATATAAACAAACCAGAAAAAAAAAAAAAAAAAAAAAAAAAAAAAAAAAAAGAAAGGCCCAAAAAAAACACACGGCAATGGCTCAGATTCTACCAAGTTCATTATGCTTATAAAATCTCCATAACTGCCTACCAAGTTCATATGTTATAAAAATCCAAACTGTTCATTACAATAGGTAAGGTGCTTAGTTTTACCCTTAGGGACCTACGGCCATGAAAGTCCAACAAGACCTTCTCCACTCACTCAATAACTTAATTTTGGCAAGAAAAATAAATTAAAACTCATGACAGCGAAAATAAATTCATTACTGATTTATTATTATTTTCAAAATTTAACTAATTAAACAACTTTATCCTATAGTTATAGGATGAAGAAAGAAGCAGGGTCTCCAATTTCCGATTTCTACCAAGTTCATATGTTATAAAAATCCAATTATATAATTGTTTGACGTATATAGTAAGGTCCTTTTTATTGTTTGACGTTCTACTTTGACTACAATATTGTAAAACACAAGTATAATTATAGTTCCCTTTAAAATAGAAAAGCACAATATTGTAAAACACAAGTATAATTATAGTTCCCTTTAAAATAGAAAAGCACAATATTGTAAAACACAAGTATAATTATAGTTCCCTTTAAAATAGAAAAGCACAATATTGTAAAACACAAGTATAATTATATCCAAAATATTTGTAGGTTAAGCTCTGTAGGATCATGCCTTTAATTTCAATTCAAAGATACTTAACCGATATTGAATTATTTTATTTGTAATTATTTAAAAATAAAACTAGTTATTAAATATTATTAAAAAAACTTCATTGCTATTTTATTTATACAATACATTAAAATAGAAAATGATATACGTAGCTTTTATATTTATTTAACTAGGTGGAAGCCCAACGTTGCGCAGGTTGTTTTATTACTTTATTATCGCATATTGTATTAGAGGTTGTTTTTTTATTGTACATATAAGATAAATATTAATATAAAAAATAAATCATACAACTAATTAGTGCTTGAAAATTAGTTCCCTTTTTTATTTGAAAATTAGTGCTTGACAAAAGGGAACTAATTTTCAAATAATTATATTGCATAATTATATTGACAAAACGGAACTATTGACAAAAGGGAACTACGTAGTTCCCTTTTGCCATTTGATAGCTCCGTTTTGACAATATTATACGTATAAACTTTTGCAAATTAGCATAAAGACAATAGTAAATATATATAGGTATAAAAATATAAAATTATTATAAAAAGATGGAAAATTGAAATAGCTCGAATCTAAAACTAAAAAAAATCAAATATCAATTATAGGATTAAATTATTTAAATAAGTACTAATTCTTAAACTATAAAAAAATTATCTTAAATGCATCTAATAAACTTAAATGATCTAATAAAAAGTTTCAAAATCAAATATAGATACAGATAATTATGGTAAATGAATATTAATTTTAAAATATAATCATTATATAAAATTTTTTAATATTTAGATAATAAAATATAATCATCTTTTTAATTTATTAACTATATTTATTTTTTAATTTATCAGAAGTTATATTTATTTTTTAATTTATCAGATGTTATCTGATTGGCCCCTTTTTTATTTTAAATGTATTTATTAAATTTAATGTTTAGATTTGTCTTTAACCTCCAACACTAGGAAGCAAAACAAATAAAATAAAAAAAAGAAAGTGCAAGATAATAATAACAATAATAATAAATAAAAACTGACCTTTCATTCATAAGCATAAAAACTATACAAATAAATTAAAAAAAAAAACTCCTAATAAACATATTCAACATCACACAACTAATTATACAAAGATAGAAAATAAGTTATCGAAATAACGAGATTTAATTAATATTGGTCATTTCTCTGCTCTTATCTGTACCTCTATATTCACTTCTTTTTGCATACATATCATTTCATAAAGTTAAAAAATTCTGAAAAAAAAAAAAAAGAAGGAAAGAAGAGACCAGAGAATTAAATTAATATTACTGTAGTTAGAAAAAAAAAAAAAAAAAAAAAAAAGAAAGAAAAGACATGCTCCACGCTTAATATTTATTAGGATTGAAGCTTTGTTGTTTGTCACCTTTTGCCCCGCCATTCAAAATCTAAAAACAACAATAATCAACAACATATAATGAAAAAAAAAAAGCACCCCTAAACCTAGAAAATTTAATAAATAATCGCCAAAGCAGAAACAACAAAAAAAGATAAGAGCAAAGAAACAAACAAAAATTGATATATATTAGTATATACCTCTTTTCAACGATTATTTTATAATGGTTTCTTTTATATATATATTATTATAATATATTATATATATATTATGAAAAATTTAAATTTTTTAATTAATTCAAAGTTAGCATTGTTAGATATAGCTATATGCTAGATATAAAAATAAAAATAATCAAACATTTACTTAAATTTAAAAAATTATATAACAAAGCAGCAAAAAACAATACTCAAACAAAGCGCGTGACGCTTAAACTTTGCTAAAGATTTGTTCGCGTTTCAAGATTTTTATATTATAATTAAACTTATATAGTATATATAATTATATATATATAAAATGCGCTTGATCTTTATTCCTTTTTTCTTTTGTATATATATATATAAAATGGTGATTTTATGCTTTTTCTTTGTAATATTAGTTGTTTTAATAGAAGTTAATTATTTTAATAGTTGTCAGCTATTTTACTGTTGATAGGAGACAACGTCTTATTACTTTTTTCAACCTCTGAATATTAATATAAATATTATGTATTTTGACTAGGGGTCCGATCGGCATATTTAACTGTTCTAGTAGCGGCTAGTTGTTAACTGTTTTAGTAGCTTTTAGCTATTAGATGTCAGTTGTCAGATGTTAGCTGCTAGCTGCTAGCTATTTAAGTAGCAACTAAAAATGAAAGTGTTCAATAAAAACAATTGTTTGATTGACAATTAAATTTAAAATGGCAAAAAAATGATAATGTAATATTCACTTAGAATTTTCGCTTATAACCATAGAATTAAACTCGGTATAAAAAAACACAAAAGATGATTTCGTTGAACCTAAATTTTCAAAATTTAAGAGAGCAAAAATTAAACAGTTCATTATTTTATAAATAAAATTGGAAATTTTTAATAATTTAGTGGATTAATATTTTTAATTTTTAACATTTTCCCGAGTTCAAATGCAAATATATAAACAAACAAATCGCCCCAGAAATATTAAAACAAACATTTTCTGTATACTTGCATGACAGCGTAACCAGGCTCGCTATTCATTTTAATACGTCCAACAAACTTGCACTAATCTCCGCTTTCACACTCTCCGAAGGCCCCACCCAAAAAAAACAAGGCTCGTATTCATTTTAATAGTCCACAAACTTGAC